GATGCTAGAGTGGCGACTGAACACTGTCAGGAATGTGGTTGTGTCACGTTAAAAAAAAAAAGCTTCACAATTTATCGAACAGTCACTTGTTGTCATCAAGGGTTTTTATCCTGAGCTTTCCAGACGGCAGCGGCAATCGAATGTGACATCTGTCATTTTCAGGTCAGATGTAATCATAACTAGCAGTCATTGTTGCAAATCTGTGGATATTTAAAAAAAAATATCATTATTTATATTCAATACGTAACCATTTGAGCTATCAAATTAACATCTGTATCAAGTTTTCATATGCATATTATTATTTTTGCCCATACGGTATCGTTGCTGTTATTTCACACCAGGCTTCAGGGACCAGTAGTTCGTTTGTCTGTTGCGTGGGCAATGTACGGTAAGACAGATTAAACAAGAGTTAAAAACAATCACTGGACAACGACCGTGGGCTGCGTGGTCTGGAGGCATGGCGTCCGCCTTGAGTGCTGGAGGTTCCGGGTTCAAGCCCTGGTGAAAGCTGGGATTTTTCACTTGGACATTTAGTAATTTCCTGTGGTCTCTGGGTATTAGGATAGGACGCCCGCGTGTGTTGTTGCGCACGTAAAAAAAAATCTATTAGCTGGTGTAAATCGAAAAAGCGAAGCGTAACGGCCGGTGCTACGGAGTTCGTCATTGCGCTAAGATTTTTAGGACACAGGCTTGAGTCAGAAGTAGAACAGAGCAGTTATGGGTTACTAGCCTTGTGCCATCATGTTGATCCGTGTCTAAACCTAAACCAGGCTGCTGGCACGTGGTGTCATGTTTACAGCTAGGCTGTTTTATCCGAGCCTTTCGTTCCAAAACCCACGATTTCAGCGAATCCTTAATTGGTCGCCCTTAATGACATTTTTGTTAAGAAGCAGATAGTCTGCGGCCTGGGAAGATAGTCTGCGGCCTGGGAATCCCTATAGGGAATACAATTCGAAAAGTATAAAATTGCATCAATATATCAGATTAAATTACTGATAGCTGGACAGACAGGACAGGACGGACACACAGGACAGGACAGACAGGACGGACAAACAGGACAGGACAGGACAGGACAGGACAGACAGACAGATAGGACAGACAGACAGATAGGACAGACAGACAGATAGATAGATAGATAGATAGATAGATAGATAGATAGATAGATAGATAGATAGATAGATAGATAGATAGATAGATAGATAGATAGATAGATAGATAGATAGATAGATAGATAGATAGATAGATAGATAGATAGATAGATAGATAGATAGATAGATAGATAGATAGATAGATAGATAGATAGATAGATAGATAGATAGATAGATAGATAGATAGATAGATAGATAGATAGATAGATAGATAGATAGATAGATAGATAGATAGATAGATAGATAGATAGATAGATAGACAGACAGATAGAGGCAGTGGAGTAGTGCCTTGGTGTCGCCCCGATAATGTTTTCGTGCAGCAAAGGCCCATCCTAACCAATGGTATCAATCACTGTAATTTTAAAGTGCCACGGAATCACTTATTTAAAAACTTCACTGCTGTATCAAAGTTGTGTAGGTAAAGAAGGCATATAAAATAATACTTGTCAAAAAAAAAAAAAAAAAAGATCATGCAAGAAATACCAGAACAATTGAAATAGTTATTGATAAATAGTTCATCAGTTTTTGGAGTACCAAAACAAAGCAACCATCAAGTAAACTGAAGATTGGGGTAGGGGTGTGGTGGGGCGGGGTGGGGGTGGGTCTATAAAATTATTTACAGGTACTGTGCCTGCCATCATCCGCGACTGTGTCACCAATGGCTCGCCGGTAGACGAATTCGTCGCCGGTCGGGACAGTATTTGGGTGTGTTTCCTTTAAACACATCAACACTGCTGGAGTCCTTTTCAGGGCTTTTGATGGCGTGCAATGCTAAGTCATTTTGTGTGGCGAACATTTGGATACACAATATTACTGGTATGATTTGATGTTCTTGCAGTGGAAACCACAAGCCAAAGAAATCAAGAGAATTCAAATACAATACAGAGAAGTAGAAATTTAGACAGGTAAATAGGAGGGGCAGGGAAATGGGGGAGGGAAATGGGGTGTTAGCTGCACGTGATGGCACCGAATATGCTGACTATAGTCGAGTTTTTGTGTGGGTCTTATACTTCATTATATGCCCGGCATTGTGGTTGGTGGGTACAATATAAACAATTTACGTTATGCTGATAACACATTCTTGATAGCAACAAGTCAGAAAGAACTACAGGAAATGATAGACACTGTGGTGTTAAAAAATGGAAGAATGGGCCTCAGTTTGAATAATGGGAAGGCAGAAGTAATGGTGGTATCAAAGAAACGAATTATTCCTAAATGTGTAATAAAAGTCGATGGTGCTATTTTAGGACAAGTACAGAAATTGTGGTGTTAGAAAGTGGAAGAATGGGTCTCAGTTTGAATAATGGTAAGACAGAAGTAATGGTGGTATCAAAGAAACGAATTATTCCTAAATGTGTAATAAAAGTCGATGGTGCTATTTTAGGACAAGTACAGAAATTTAAGTATCTGAGCACATGGTTAACATCAGATAGAAGATGTATAACTGAGATAAGAAACAGAATAGGACGGGCAAAAACTGCATTTTATAAAATGAAGAATATCTTGTGCATTATCTTCTTGTCACTGAGAGTTGGAAAAAGAATTCTTGCTTGCAATATATATCCAGTTTTAACATACGGCTGTGAATCCTCGACAATCGGTAGGCAGGCCAAACAATTTCTTGGGGCCTCAGAGATGTAGTTTTACAAAAGAATGCTTAGAATACCTTGGACAGCCAAAAAGAGCAACCAAGAGGTTTTGAAAGAGGCGGTAGCCCGAAGACAACTTATCACAGACATCAGAAGGAGACAGTCATAATTGTTCGACCGTCTTATGAGAAGAGGGAAAATAGAACATGATGTGATCACTGGAAAGGGGTGTGGAAGGAGGGATAGAGGAAGACAACGAGAGAAGATTCTTGACGTGGCATGGAGGTGTGTCGCCACACGAACTGATACATGCTGGTCGTGGATTATGGAGAGGCATGATCGCCCACGCCTGTCGGCAAGGCACCTGATGATGATGATACTTTATTAGGAGAATAAAGGATCAGATGAGAAGAAACGTTTAAATATATTAATCATTGAAATTATAGTCAAATGTAAGCCCCACAGCAAACTACACAAGACGCAAACAAACATATACAAGACACAGAAGCGTCCAAACCTGGTCGGCTTAGGCTCATTCAGGATTCTCCCTAGCTCACAATTTGTGTATGGGAGGGGGGGGGGGAGCGGGGGTGTTTACATCTCTGAAATTACTGCACACAAACACCCACAAGAGTGCCAGGCTAAAAGACCACAAACCTCCACTAGAGTGTCAGACTCAAAGACCACAAACACGCCCTAGAGTGTCAGGCTCAAAGACAACAAACATCCACTAGATTGAAAGGCTCAAAGAAAACAAATGTGAACACACTTCTGCAACGCCAAGCTAGTAAATTACCCGCTAACATTAATGTCAAGGTTGGTTCTTTGATCTCAGCACTTCCAATTACCTTAATCTTGTCGCGCATCTGGCAACGGTGGGTCTACGTTTTTATTTTCGCCGTTTGCGGGCAGATGTTTAAAGTTAATGCAACTCTCGCTTCTGTGTTTTGGTGGCGAGTTTAGTCAGAAAGCTTCCTTCGTATCTCTGTCGTCAGTCGGTCCTGGAACTAAACCTTCTCATTCCACTGGTGTCAAAAGTTGGGAGGACACTGTTGACTAACACTTCTTTTCATAATCCATGCCGTGTGGCGTTGGGATTCATGTCCATCCACAACCTTCTGTCTCGTGTTTCTATGTGTGTGTCGCATGTGTGTGCCTATGTGTGTGTGTGTGTGTGATTGGGTCTGTGCGCGTATGTCTTTGTGTGTCTGCATTTGTTTCTATGGGTGTGTCTGAGTGTGCATGTGTATGTATGTATGTATGTATGTATGTATGTATGTATGTATGTATGTATGCATGCATGTATGTATGTATGTATGTATGTATGTATGTATGTATGTATGTATGTATGTATGTATGTATGTATGTATGTATGTATGTATGTATGTATGTATGTATGTATGTATGTATGTATGTATGTATGTATGTATGTATGTATGTATGTATGTATGTATGTATGTATGTATGTATGTATGTATGTATGTATGTATGTATGTATGTATGTATGTATGTATGTATGTATGTATGTATGTAGTATGTATGTATGTATGTATGTATGTATGTATGTATGTATGTATGTATGTATGTATGTATGTATGTATGTATGTATGTATGTATGTATGTATATGTATGTATGTATGTATGTATGTATGTATGTATGTATGTATGTATGTATGTATGTATTTATGTATGTATTTATGTATGTATGTATGTATGTATGTATGTATGTATGTATGTATGTATGTATGTATGTATGTATGTATGTATGTATGTATGTATGTATGTATGTATGTATGTATGTATGTATTTATGTATGTCTGTCTGTCTGTGTGTATGTGTGTGTGTGTGTGTACATGGTTAGGTTAGTTGCGTATCCTTTATTGGACTTTGCAGAACCAGCCCCAACAGAACCTGGCTGTTGTGTGGTTTTTCTAGGCAAATTTACGTCCAGTAGTTTGCCATTGCTCCCTGGACGGTCGGCTTTCTTGATACCACTGTCGAAACCAACGCAAGGCACATGGCCCGTAGCTGGGATCGAACCCGGTACCCCGGCATTACGAAGCGTTCGCATCAACCGTAGAGCCGATAACATGTACATGACGGACATCAAATATCCACTTATAGAAAAGTAACCGCCAACATTACCTGTTTGGCTTGTTATTGTGTACATGTTTATTTGCTTCTTGTTTAGCTTGTTTTCTTGCAGGCACATGTTGCTATATATTGTCATATATTAATACATTATCTGTTTACTGTTATTTTC